TTGATATTTTTTGTAGCTATTGTGAATGGAATTGTCTCAGCCATGGCATTGTCTGTGTATACAAAGGTTATGGATTTTGTGTTTTGCCTTTATATCCTTCCACTTTACCAAATTCTTCTATGAGTTCCAATAGCCTGTTAGTGGAGTCTTTGGGATCCCCAGTGTATAGAATCATGTAATCTGCAAATAGGGATCGTTTGACTTCCTCCTTCCCAATTTGTATCCCTTTGATTTCTTTTTCTTGCCTAATGGCTCTGGCTAAAACTTTCAGAACTATACTGAATAGCAGAGGTCAGAGTGGTCATCCTTATCTAGTTCTGGATCTCAGTGGGAATGCTTCCGACTTTTCCCTATTTAATAGGATGCTGGCTGTGGTTTTGTCATAAGATGCCTTGATTGTGTTGAGGAATGTTCCTTCTAAACCCAATTTGCTTAAAGTTTTCATTATGAAAGGTGTTGTATTATATCAAATGCTTTCTGTGCATCTATTGAGAGAATCATGTGGTTTTTGATCTTCAGTTTGTTAATGTGCTGTATCACATTGATTGATTTGCAAATGTCAAACTATCCCTGCATACCTGGGATAAATCTCTCTTGATCCAGTTGAATGATCTTCCTGATGTGTTGTTGGGATCAGTGGTTTATATTACTGATTCATTTTCTGGCTAGGTTATTGGTCTGTTTAGGTTTCAATGTCTTCATAGCTCAATTTAGGTAAATTGTATGTGTCCAGTAATCTGTCCATTTCTTCAAGGTTTCCCAATTTTTTGGCATATAGCTCTTTGTAGTAATTTCTGATGAATCCTTTTATTTCTGTAGTGTCTGTTGTTACATTTCCTTTTGCACCTCTAATTTTTTTGATTTGGGTCCTCTCATTCTTTTTTTGTTTTTGTTAGTTGGGCAATTGTTGAGTAAATGTTGTTTATTTTTTTAAAAAAAGCTTTTTGTTTTGCCAATCTTTTGTATTTTTTGATTCAATTTTGATTATTCACTAATTTTAATTATTTCTTTTCTTCTACTAGTTTTGGATTTGATTTGCTTTTATTTTTCTAGATGCATTAGAAATATTCATACCTCGAGCCGGCGCCGTGGCTCAATAGGCTAATCCTCCACCTTGCGGCGCCGGCACACCGGGTTCTAGTCCCGGTTGGGGCGCCGGATTCTGTCCCGGTTGCCCCTCTTCCAGGCCAGCTCTCTGCTATGGCCAGGGAGTGCAGTGGAGGATGGCCCCAGGTGCTTGGGCCCTGCACCCCATGGGAGACCAGGAAAAGCACCTGGCTCCTGGCTCCTGCCAGGATCAGCGCGGTGCGCCGGCTGCAGCGGCGGCCATTGGAGGGTGAACCAACGGCAAAAGGAAGACCTTTCTCTCTCTGTCTCTCTCTCTCACTGTCCACTCTGCCTGTCAAAAAAAAAAAAAAAAAAAAAGAAATATTCATACCTCATTTATTAGTGCCTTTCCAACCAATTGCTATAAACGTTCCTTTTTACACTGCTTTTGCTGTATCCCACAAGTTTTGACATGTTGTATTGTCATCTTCATTTGTTTCCACAAATCTTTTTTTTTCTTTTGATTCCTCCAATGAACCACTGTTCATTCAGGAGGTATTGTTTAGTCTCCATGTGTTTACCTATGATCTAGAGATTCTTGAGTTGTTGATTTCCAGCTACATTCCATTGTAGTCAGGGAAGTATGGTATATTTTGATTATTTTGAATTTGCTGAGACTTTATTTATGGCCTAGCATGTGGTCTATCCTAGAGAAACTTCTTGCACTGGTGAGAAGCATGTGTATTCTGCATCTGTAGGATGAAATGTTCAGTAGATATCCATTAGATCCATGGGGTCCATCGTGTCAATAAACTCTGTTATTTCCTTGTAGATCTGTCCATTGCTGAAAGTAGAGTATTGAGGTCCCCTGTTACTATTATATTGGAGTCTATGTCTCCCGTTAGAGTCAGTAACATTTCTTTTAAATAGTCAGATGACCTGCATATATGTTTACAATAGTCACATCTCCCTGTTGAATTGATCCCTTAATCACTACATAGTGCCCTTCTTTGTCTATTTTAACAGCTTTTGTGTTAAAGTCTGCTTTGTCTGATATTAGGATGGCTACACCAGTTCCTTTCCATCCTTCCACTTTCAGTCTTTGTTGGTGAGATGTGTTTCTTGGATGCAGCAAACAGATGGGTTTTATTTTTTAATGCATTCAGCCAGTCTGTATCGTTTAACTGGAAAGTTGAGGCCATTTACATTCAAGGTGACTGTAGATAAGTAACGACTTTGCCCAGCCATTTTCCTATAAATATTCTTATTATTTCCTTTGGATTCCCTTTGTACTTTTACTGGGAGATTTTCTGCCTTCACCTTCTTTTGTAGTGATGACCGTGTTTCTGTGTTTCTATGTGTAGAACATCCTTAAGCATCTTTTGTAATGCTGGATGACTAGTGACAGATTCTTTCAATTTCTGCTTGCTGTGGAAGATCTTTATTTCACCTTAATTTATAAGTGAGAGTTTTGCAGGGTATGGTATTCTGGGTTGACAGTATTTTTCTCTTGAGACTTAGACTATATCTCACCGTTTTCTTCTAGCCTGTAGGGTTTCTGATCAGAAGTCCACTGTGAGTCCAGTTGCAAATCCTCTGAAAGGAATCAGGTTTCTCTTGTGCACATTTTAGAATCTTTTCTTTATGGTTTACTGTGGAAAGGTTGACTACAATGTGTCTGGCCATGTCTATTAGGAGTTCTGTGTGCTTCCAGCACTTAGATGTCCCTTTGATTCTCCAAATTGGGGAGGTTTTCTGTAGTTATTTCACTAAAAAGGTCTTCTGGTCCATTTTATTTTTCCATGCCTTCAGGAATCCTAATATCACTATGTTGGATTGTTTGATAGCACACTGTAAATTCTGACACAATTTTTTAGTTTTCTAATTTCTGTTTCTTCTTCTTCTTCTTTTTTGGTCTGACTGTAAAATTTCCATGGATTGGATATTTAACTTGGATCTTCTTTCTTCTGCCTCACTAAGTCTATTCTTAAGATTTTCCACCATATTTTATTTGTTCTATTGAATTTTTAATTTCCAATATTTCATTTTGATTTTCCTTTAAATCTCAGTTTTGTGGGAAAGATTTTTATTCATGTCATGTACAGATTTTTCTAGTTTGTGAATTAGTTTCTGATTACTTCTAAGTAATGCTATGATCAGTTATTGAAATCTGTTTCTGAGATTTCGTCAATCTAATATTCACGTTCTCTTACTGAAATGTTGTGTTTCTTTGGAGGCATTGTGCTGTCTTCCTATTCTGGTTCTTGAATTGCTGCATTTATTATCAGGCATCTGTGGGGATACCTGTGGTTGTCATTGTTGTTTTCCCTGTGATGGCTTTATCTTTGAACTGTGCCTCTGTGTTTTAGTGGAGTGTCTGCTCTCTCAGTGAATACCCAGAGGTGTGTGCTGGGTGTGGTCCTGGATCTCTGCTCAGTGCTGCAGGGTGAAGGGACTGTCCAAGGTGAGACCCACATTCAGCGAGGTAAATCTCCTCTATTATTTTTAAATCAGAGAGGAGCTGTGTTCTGCTTTGTCACTGTATTATCATGCCCACCAGCTATCCTCAAAGGAAACAAAGCCTAAGCACTAGCCCTCGTAGGTACAATATTCATCTGTGCTGCCACAAGAACAGCACAAAGGTCCTGTGCAGTCCTTGGTGAGAATATGGATCCTGCGGCAATGACTGTCACCAGGGAGTGCCGTGTAACAGCTCTGAGGTCAGCGGACCCACACCTATCACAGGACATGTGACCAGTGGACAGTGGTCATGGCCTCATTGGGACCTAATTTTTGCTGCACCAGGCAACACAGTGAGCTGATACAGCGATGAAGTCACCTCTTGATGGCCTGAATGAGGTAACAGCTTGCAGCTGACCCACAGTGAGGTTGGAGCACCATCTTTCAGGTTGCAACATAGATCATACACCAATGTGATTCTGAGACCACAATAGATATAGGTCCACTGTCATGGAATTTCCTTATGCAAAATTCCTGATTTATATCCACCTCAGCACGCAATCTCAGGTGTTCCCCTCAACCACAGACTTCTCAAGGAAGACTGTTACCTATGTGGCTGTTGTGCCCCAACCCTCAGATGTGGTTATAGAGGAAAGAAAAGAAGACAACTAGCATTGCAACATCTGTGCAAAATTCAAAAGAGGGTTTAGCATGGTTTTTGAGAGTGAACTACAGATCCATCAGAACACCTTGAGCTTTATATGAGAAATGTTTTCAAGGATGTTCTTAGGGAGGTTGGGAACGGTCTTAGATTGGGCCACATCTAGAGAAGACCCAGAGACAGGGTTTTTTTGAGAAGTAGTTCATTTGGGTGATGATCCCTACAGTCAGTGAAAGAAACTGGGTGAATGAGCAAGGGAGGCATGGAAGCCAAAACAGAGTGAGAGAGTGAGATAGGACTCCTGGATGTGGCTGGGCTTCATCCC